GCTCAGCTGCATCACAAACCCAATCCAGACTCTTGATGATCATATATCTTTTTAATCCAATTTGTAATATTCCCTCCAAAATTTAGTTTTTCCAATAGGTATATCATAAACTGCCAATTAAGATTATCGAATGCTTTTTCTGCATCCAGGAAATGCATTGCTGCGTCTGTCCCATGGTTTTTATCATAATATTCAATTAATAATAATAATAATAATAATAATAATAATAATAATAACAACAATAAAATTTGTTTATATCCCACCCCCTTGAGATCAATCGGGGTGGCTAACAACAATAAAATATAACATACAATAATAAAATCTAGTTCTCCCCCCCCCCTTAAAAAGTTATTAAATCAATTACAGGTTAAAAACATACAATGTAATTTACAACAATAATATATAAAAAACAATTCCAGAGTGTGGCTGCAGTTCTTAATTACATATTTCAAGAGTGAAGCCTAGAAACCCTCATTAAGGGAGGGTTAATTAAATTAATTATAATTATTGTATTTTGTTTTATATGCCTTTGAGGGAAGAAGCCACACTGATCGTGATGTATCCAATTTTGTAAAATCTTTTTTTATCCTTTTTGCAATTATACTAGTCAATATTTTATAATCTGAATTTAATAGGGAGATTGGTCTGTAATTTTTTTTACAGATGTCCAGTCTTTATCTTCTTTTGCTAATAGTACTATGTTTGTCTCTTTCCATGTCTCTGGTATTCCGTTTTTTTATTTATGTCCTTGAAAATTCTCTGTAATGGTTCTACTAGTTCTTCTTTAAGTGTTTTATAGTAGCACATCGAAAATCTGTCGGGACTTGGGGCTTTCCCACTTTTTGCCTCATCTATAGCTTCCCTGATTTCTTCTATAGAAATATCCTTGTTCAATATTTCTTCTAACTCTTTATTTTTTTCCAACTCCCTTAAATTTTTTAGATACTCTATTATCTTACCCTCATGATGAGTTCTATCATTAGTTTCTCTATCCAAATCTTCATAATATTTAAGAAATATCTCCATTATGTCATTTTTTCTGTATATTTTATATCCCCCTCTTGTATTTCCATTATTAAGTTTTTTTCTTTTTTCTTTCTAACTTTATATGCTAAATATTTCCCTGCTTTATTTCTCCTTTCAAATTGTTTTTGTTTAATATATTTTAATTTTTTGCTTAATTCTTCTGTCATTTTATTTTTCAATTGTTTTTTCAAGAAATTTAGCCCATTTTTAATTTTCCTATTATTCAGGTTTTTCATCAATCTCTCCTCCTGTTTGTGTATTTTCTCTGAGACTTCTTCAATTTCTTTTTTCCTTGCTTTATTCTTTTCTGAATTCTTCTTAATCAGAAATCCCCATACATATGCCTTTGATGCATCCCAAATTGTTTTTATTTCTAATTCATCACTGATATTCTCTTTGAAATACCATTTTAATTCTTCTTTGAGCTGTTTTTTTAATATTTTCATCATTAAGTAGATTCTCATTGAGTCTCCAATAACAATCTTGTTTTGCTTGTTTTATTTCCAAGACAATTTGATTGTAATCTGAAATTTTGTTTATTTTTATTTCCACACCTTTAATTTCTTTAAACAACTCATTTGATAACAAAAACATATCGATTCTCAATGCTGAATTGTGAGGGGTTGAATAAAATGTATAATCTCTTAAATCGTTTCAGATCTTCATATTTCAGATCTTTTATTTGAGTCAAGAATTTTTTATAGCATTTCCCTCTACTCTCAGTAGGGCCAAATACACTAAAGTTTTCCCCCCCATTTAACTGAATTTCAATACCAACAAATCTCCCTTCCTTATCATTTATTATCTCCTTTGTCTTGATTTGATTGATAAAATCCATTTTCACCCGTTTAAGCCTGTTCCTGGATTGGGCAAAAAAAGGCGTGTGATAATCTCCTATGAGAGTGGGAATTTACTTTATATACAAGTAGGATGTAGGATCTCAGTTTTAGCTGAATGCAGAGGAATCTGGTTGGTATCTTACACATACTGAAATTCTTCTATTGAATTGGTTGGACATTTTTTCTTCAATGAAAAAACATCTGCATCTTTTATTTTGTTATGAACTATGGTGCAGTTTTCTTATTTGAGTTATTGGTAGTAACAGGTCAAATACAGAATTGAAATATTGAAAAATCTCACTGCAATGGTGTCTAGAACATATGATGCTCTTGCTCCCTCTAGTGAGAGCTTGCTAGCATAGAAACACTTGAGTCGCCTCACAAGTGGAAGACAAGCAATATTTTTTGTTCAGTGCACCAAACAACTGAGATCCAGATCATGCAGGATTTCAACAGAATTTTATTCAGTTTACAGACTCTACACACTCTTTCCTCTTTCTATTCTCAGTCAGTCCTTTTGAAGCAAATACAGACCCTCAGATC